CCTTTCAAATTTTCATTCCAAATGCCTCTTCCACCTCTCTTGTTCATTTACGAAATTTTTCTATTTTTCTTTTGAGTGTAGCTGAATGCCTACTGTTTGCTAGAAATTATGCCAGGTGCTGATATTATAAAAGTTAATCAGACAGTAAAGTGGTAGAGGCTGAGACCGAGACAGACATTTTCTTAGCCAAGTGTTGGAGGCCCCGAGATCAGCCGTCTAGCTGTCTGTGGGAGTCAGTGGTGCAGTGTGTAAGCTGAGTCTTGAGGAAGGAATATTTGCAAGGCAAAAAGGAGAGGAGGTGGAGGCAGAAACTTGATGTATTTGGAGAGAAAGAGAAAGAGAAACTGCCAGAGTGGATTGTCAGCGAGTGGAGGCTAAGGATCACCTCAAGTTCCCCACTCAACAAGGACTTCCTAAACAGCAGTGAAGGAGGAGACTTTTAATGAGCTAAGTCGGGTCCACAAGCTACCCTATAGGATTTATCAAGTAGGCAGCTGGAAGTGGAAAGAAGTTGAAGAGAAAGGCTCATACTGGAGATGAGGATTGAGAAACCATCAACGTGATGATTGTTGGGAATCTGATGTGATGTGATGATGGTGGGAATCTGTGGCAAAGCCCAGCAAGTAAGAGCCCATGCAGAGGAAAGAGCCGGTTCTGCTCTCCGCTTTCCCCTACACTGCCTTAGCGCCTCATTCTCTACCTCAGCCCTTTCTCTTCTTCTAAATTCTGCCCAGGAGCTACTTGAAGTACAGCTCTGAATCTTCCAGGCTCCTCTCAAATGTCTTCTGAATGCAGTGCAAGCACCACAGCTTTGAGTTTAAAGCTCTTTGTGGTTTGTGCCAAACATACCACTCCATCTTATTTCCGGGGGTTCCCTGTGAACCAACCAGGAACTGACATATCCCTGGACAGGTCATCTACCTTCATCTCTAGTTTTGCCATGCCAATTCCCCTGCCCATGTGACAAAAGAATGTGAGTTTTAGAGGCAGCAGTATTTTTATTTAAATATTGACAAACTCTTCCATTAACTAGAAGAGTTAACTTGAGTAATTTGTTGAATTATTCAGAATCTATTTCCTCACATGCTAAAAAATCATATTGAATTATTGTAATTATGATAGTGTATTTAGACATCTCTATAGTTGTTGACATAAATAGGTGCTCATCAAATATTAAGCTCATTTATTAAGCCATACACCCCTTTTCCACTTGCCTTAATCACGTTCCAAGGCAGGATTTTTAAAGCTTCACACTTGTTAGAAACCATTTAAATATACCTCATCAATTCATTTTGCTCTCTTTATCCTTCTACTTTAGTACATAACACAAGTTATCTGTTCCTCTACCATATCATGGATTACTTGGTATCAGAAACATTGTGTTTGTAGCATTATTGTCTTGCAAGCAGTAGGTGTTTGAATTGAGTTCTTGAAATTTTACTATAATCTACACCCCCCATCTCTCTCTTTCTTGATAATAGCTCTATTAAGATATGTTTAACATGCCTTACAACTCTCCCATTTAATGTCTATAATTCAATAGTTTTCAGCAAATTTGGAGTTGTGTGTAGATCACTATAATCAATCTTAGAATATTTTTATTGCCCCCCCAAAAGAACCCCTACACTTTAACCATGACCCCCCCCACTTCCATCCTCCTTAGATTTGGGCAACCACTGATGTATTTTTAACATTTCATATAAATGGGATCAAAATATCTAGTCTTTGTGACCAATTTCTTTCACTTAGTATGATGTTTTCAAGGTTCATTTTATATCCTATATTAGTACTCCAGGTCTTATTATTGCAAAAAAAAATTACATTTTTTGCATATATCATATTTTGTTTCTGGTCATCAACTGAAGGACATTTAGGTTGTTTCCACTTTGGGCTATTATAAATAATGCTACTATGGGCATTATTTATGAGCATTTTGTATTACTCTTCCTGGCTATTGTATGTTTTTTTTCTTTCTCTTTTCATGAACAGATTTTTTTCTATATTTTTATTGATGTTTTATAGTTGTACATAATGATGGGATTTGTTGGTACATTTTCATACACACACACTATAATTCGGCCAATATCCCTCTCCAGTATTTCTCTCCTTTCCTCCCTCCCCTGGTCTCTTTCCTCTACTCTCCTCATTTCCCTTGGATTTTCATGAGATTCCCCACACACATACACACACGCCTTTCTTTCCCTTTTTCCTCTTTGTCTTCCACATATGAGAGAAAACATGACCCTTGATTTTCTGAGTCTGGCTCATTTCACTTAACATAACCATGAACAGATTTTTGTGTGAACATACATTTTCATTTCTCTTGTTGGACCTGTGGGTGGAATATGCTGAGTCATATGGTAACTCTTCTGTCTAACCTTTTGAGGAACTGCCAGACTCTTTTCTAAAGCAGATGCATTATTTTATTTCTACTAGCAGAATGTGAGGGTTCCACATCCTCGCCCATACGTGTCACTATCTGATTTGCTTGGGTGTTTTTTATTTTTTTTTTAACCCAGGGATGCTAAACCACTGAACCACACCCTCAGCCCTTTTATATTTTATTTTGAGACAGGGTCTCACTAAATTGCTTAGGGTCTTGCTGAGGCTGACTTTGAACTTGGGATCCTCCTGCCTCAGCCTCCTGAGCCACTGGAATTATAGGAATGTGCCAGTGTGCCTGGCTATATTGTATGTTTCTTTCTTTTTTTATTTAATTAATATAGCATCTTAGTAGAGCTATATTTTGTTAGTGAAATATTCTTAATTCATTCAGTCTGTGTTTTGTTGAGTGCCCTCTAAGTGCCAGACACCATTCTCAGCTTTTGGAACCACTGGTGAAGTTAAAAGACAAAAATATCTGTCCAGGGGGAGTCTTAAGTTCTAATGGGAAGAAAGACAAACAATAAGCAATAAATATAATAAATTCTTATTCAAGTTTCTGGCTAAAACGACATCTCTTTGTTCTGTGTTAATTAGCAGTAAAGATTTTTCTTGCAGTCATTTTTACCTCTTTATCTTAGAGTTGAGATCCAGTCTCACAACTTTGCCATGGCTATATTCAGTCTACTGGTGGGTGATAGGCATCGTAGGAAAGAGGAAGAAAGAGAAAAAAGGGGATCAAGAGTGTTGGCAGAGAGGAAAGGGACTGGTAGTGAGTTAATAGGGTGCTTGAGTTAGGCCATGTTGAGAAGGTGAGATTTGGGCAAAAACTTAAAGGTGAATGAGTCAGCGGAGAAGATATCAGGGAGAAGAGTTTTGTGAGCAGAGGAAGCAACCAATCCAGAGTCCCTGAAGCAGGATTCTGTCCAAGGAACAGCAAGGAGGCCAATATTGTTGCTAGCATAGGAGCCAGCAACAGAGAAGACAGGAGGCGAGAAGGTTAGTGTGGCTATGAGCCAAACTACACAGGATTTAGCAAGTAAATGGTGCATGAGGCAACCTTGTACTAAACAATTATTCATTCTTTATCTGAAATTCAAACTTAACTGGGCATCCTGGGTTTCATTTTGTTTTGTTTTTTTTTAGCAGCCCTACTTGTAGGCCATTGTAAGGACTTTGCCCTGTACTGAAGAGGTGAAAGGCCACTGCAGGTTTTGCATCAGAGGAGAGACACCATTGTGTTTCGGTATTTAAAGGATTGCTCTCTCTCTTTTGTGCTGAGAACAGGCCATGGAGGGCACTGGTGGGAACAGAGAGGTCTGGGAGGTTATTGCAGTAATCGGATGAAGGATGATGATGGCCCAGACTGCAGTAGCAGCAGTGGAGGGGGTGAGAAGTGTTCAGAATTCCAGATATGTTTTGAAAGTCCAACCCAAAGCATTTCATCATGGATTGGACCAGATGCTTGAGAGGCAGACAGAATTTGAGGATGACTCCTAGGCTTTTGGCTTGAACGACTGAAAGAATAGAGTTGCCATCAAATGAAAGGAGAAGGACTATGGTGGGAGCAGATTTGGGAAAGAGGATTGGAGTTTATTTGGGTATACTGAGCTGAAAACAGGTCATATAAGATGGGGCATAGCCATTAGCCAGCTGAATATTGTGATGTTTTTCATAAAAATATTCAATAACATAAGTTAAAAGGCGCACCATAACTGTGGACAATTTTTTTTTAATTTAGTGTGTTTGTATTTTATTAGAGGATCTTCTTTACGCTTGAATGGGCTTTTTAAAGTGGTTAGAGAAAGAGTAGCCAAAACTGGAATTCAGTTTCCTGGTTTCTTCTCCAGAATCTGAACTCAAAGCCAGACTCAATCCCAACTCCCCATTTTACCTGGCAATGGAATTCATTTTTCCATAGATGTTTTTCTTCATTTTCATTCATTTCCTTTCATCTACTCAGTGTCAGGAGAAAGGAATCTTATTGCCCAAATTCATACTTTGGTGTTCTTTCAGAGGCTGAAAATGTGCCCAGGAGATTGAACAGACTCTTCCCCTCCCCCAGTACCTGGAGCATGGAAGTCTAGAGGAATAGAGTAGCGTGTGAGTCCTCGATGCCCCCAGAGTCTGGCTGGTTTGCTCTGTTCATGTGTCCTTCACTGATTATAAGCGGTTCTGAAGAGAGGGATCTCGGTGCCTTCCCTCTTTTAACCCACGTCCTGAATAAAATAATTTTTTTCTACCCTGATGAGCAAGTATACCTTTTCTTGCACAGTTATTTTACTTCTTTTTCTTAGATTTGTCGTCTAGTTTAATTTGACAGGTTTGCTATAGCTATATTTAAAATTACCTGCAAAGTTTACATCTACAATAGGATTGTGCATTTCCAAGGATCCATGGGGAGAAAAATAAATATTAGTTAGCAAGAAATCTATAAACTGTGGCCTTTTTCCTAGAGGTCTTGTGTACTGTGTTGTTTTTAATCATAACATTTTAAATTGGCACACTGTTTCAGCAGGCATTTTTTCTCAATAATGATTATGTTTTGTTTTTATGCTAAAAAGTTAAGTGCTGATTAAATGACGAATTACATATATTGTATTTCTTGTGTTTTGCAGGACTCGAGAGGGACAAGTTTGATAATAAGACTGTTTCATTTGAGGAGCATATTAAATCAGAACACAATATGTGGCATTATTTGTACTTCATTGTCCTGGTGAAAGTTAAAGACCCAACAGAATACACTGGACCTGAAAGTTACGTGGCTCAAATGATTGTGGTGAGTGACCAGAGCATTGGAATCTGTGACCATCTGTGTTCTGCACACTTGCACCTTTTCTATCTTTCCCTCCTTCCAGAATAGAATGGCTCTAGCAATGTTTTTTTGTTAACTTTTAAATAAGCCCATAACCACTGAAGAACCTCTGTGTGGCCTAAATCACTGGTTCTCAGTAGAATTCTTGGTTTTTCAACCAAATATAAGTCTTAAGTGCCATATAATATGCATATAATACTCCTGTGGGATGTTCTGTGTAATGAATAGCATCTTCTCAGTGATGTCTGCCACCTTCTGACCTTCTATCATTGCTGATCTCCTAATTCCCCACATCTGGAACATTCTTATTGTCCAATGTGAACAAAAGATTCATGCTTTAAGAAATTCCTTGAATTTCAAAAATCAAAAGTTTAAGAAATTAAATTCCATGTAGGGAGAGTACGATGTTCAGTCCTAACAGGAGGGTCCTGGTTTCCTGGCAGCATACACTTTGGATTGATTTGCCAGAGTTCGTGATGGATTTTCATTGATCCTGCCACATGTCGTCACTTATAGCTCCTCATTAAGATAAGCACAGAGGATGTGGTAGTCCATAATTTGAAATTGCTTCTTTTGTCTCATAGAAAATTAAAACTAACTGGTCCAAAAGGAAGTTAAAGTTGTCACTTTAGTGTGGCACTTTTAATAAACATAATTACAATTATATCAATTCTTGTATACTTATAACAAACAAGCCTGTACATGGGGTTTTTTATTTTCCTCAAAGACCATCCTTCAAAATTGTGTTCACTGTTTGAGAAAGAGATCTTAGAGGATGCATGGTCCTCCTTGCTCAGTTCTCAGGATAATTAGCAACAATGCAATGGGGTCAGGACAGGAGAACTTAGTTAACAGTGGCTCTAGGTCCTTGCCTCTGGGAACTTATCATCCATGTAGAAAAGCAGGGACCCATCAGGAGCAACAAAAGAACATTTTTAGTGAGAAAGATATTGATAAGTGCAGGTTGATACAGTAATAATGTTCCTTCCTGTCAATATCAATGTGTCACAAGAGTGCTACATGTAAATGGAATTTTTATAGTTCAGGATTTTTCATATTTTTTTATTATTGACTTTCATCTCACTGTAAGTTGTTTTCTCTGCATTCATTTGACAGCAGACAGAACCCAATTTGGTTTCTCTTTTTCCACTTTTGCCTTTCTGCCCTCTTCCCTTTTTAAGTTGCGGGGGTGGCGGGGTGAGGGGCGCTAACCATTTGAGGTTGTGCCTTCACGGTGGTCATTTGCACATTCTTGGTCTGGTATGTGAGAAACATTTCATTTCTGCTTGCTGGGAAAAAAATGGTACATCAAGCATTACATTTTAAATGTGAACTCACATTGCTGCACTATATCAAAGTTTGAATAAATCTAATCAATAATATTTATTAGGTTCCTATGATATCTTTTAGAGTAAAAGACTTCAGGGAATACAGTGAAAAGTCTGCTACATTCCCCTGTGCCAAGGAATTTAGGGCTTAGACGGAGAGATGGGGGGATAACAAACCAAAAGTAGAAAAGTTCCACACGAGTTATACAAATGAAAATCTGTAAAGTGACATTCAACTGGATGGGGGAGAAGGAGAATTGTGTGTATGTGTGTGTGTGTGTGTGTGTGTGTGTCAGAGGGGGGGGGAGGAGAAGAGGGGGCCAGCATAGCAGACAGGGCAGGATTTGTGCAGGTAGGGTTTATCTGCTAAATAAAAGTGAGTGCCTGTAGGAAGGAGCAGTCTGAATAAAGGCATAAAAGTGGGACATGCAGACCCTCGAGGGATTGTTAGTTGCCCAGTTTTCCCTGGCACCTAGTCCGGTTAGAATGAATCCCTGAGAGACGTGGCAAGGAAAGTAGATGGGACTTTTGAGTAACAAATGCAGGCATTTGGGTACTATTTCATCAGCAATGGGAAGCCACTGAATATTATAACTAAGAGGATAGTGTGATCTGGGACAATAGCCAAGTAGTGGCACGTTGGTGTGTAAGATGGCATTGAAGTGGGGGGATATAACATCAGAGATGGTATTTAGCAAGGGATGAAATTGAGTGGTGGATGGGGGAAGAGCAGGAGGTGGAAGAGAGCAAGGTGAACCTGAGACACCTAACAGTGACAGCCTGGTCATTGGGAGAAAGGTGGTGTGTCAGCCTCAGAAAGTCTCTCTGTTAGGAAGAGAAGTTGGTCAGGGGAAAAGACTTGTTGATTTTGAAGTGAAACTGAAGAGCGAGAATTGTGGATTCAAAGGAATGTCAAGGTGGCCACAGTGTGAGTCTTGGAGCCAAGAAGATCAAACCTGGGCTCTACTACTTATTGGCTGGGTGGTCTTGGATGTTATAGATGAATCTTAAAACCTATCTGAGCCTCTTCTCAAGTGAAGAAACTATGGCCTCTCTCATAAGAGTGCTGTGAGATGTTAAAATGACCTGGTAGAGTGAAGGGACTTGGTAAATGAAGTTATGTGACTGTCCACATAGAATGAGCATTGAAGCCGCCAATCTACAGACTGGTGGGAGAAGGGGGAGAGTGTAAAGAGGGAGGAGAGAGCCCAGAACAGAACCTGGGAGTCCCCCCAGAAGAAAGATGAGTGAAATAGATAGAAAAGAAGTCAGTAAAGAGGGCAGAAGGAGAATCAGGAAGTAGAGCTTGTCAAAAGCCCAGAGATGAGTGTTTCGGGACCAGAGTTCAACAGCGGCAATTGCTGCAGAGAAGCCATAAAGAAGAGACAGGTCACAGCCTTTGGATTTTGTAATGCAGAAATCACCCAATGACCTTTTCCCACAAGAGAAGACTGCTGTGAAAATGTTGACCCATCTTTAGCCTTCACAGTAAAAGCAGCATTTTACCAGGCACTTGTGCTTGGATCTTTAAGTATCCAAGTCCTTATGCATGTTTCTGCCCATCCTCTTCTGTCAGAGCTCTTTCCAGAACCTTGACAGAAGGGATAAGAGCCAGCAAGCTTATTCCAGCCTGAAACATCTCATTCTCATCCAAGCAATGCGCATCCGAGGGAACAGGCTCCATTCCTGAATTTTAATGAACAGAGGACAGAAGAATGGATTAGCTTAGGTCTGAATGGAAACAAAAATTTGTTCACATGGAAGATGGCTCATTTTCTGAAATGGTGTTTTTGAAAAACTAAAAATCTGTAGCTGACAAACTCAGTTCAGAAAATCCGTTACACCAAGCTCCATGGAGACTTTGGTCTCATAATCCCGAGCCTCATAGAGAGACAAGATTTTAGAACACGTATAAGTCGAAGCACGTTTGCAGTTGAGTTTGAAGACTGGGAGTTTTTTTCCCCTCCCTCCAGAGACAGCTCCTCTTAACAGTTTGGTAGGAAACCTTCCAGGTGTCTTCCTGCTGCTCTTATTTTTGTTCCTTAAAACATGTTATTTTACCAAGTTGATGTAGGTGCTTGTTTATCAATAGGCTTTGCAAGATGCTTCATAATTGATACAGCTTCTACCCATAAGGGTTTATGCAAAAGAAAATGAATTCATCTGAATTTTGTTACACTAAGGAAATCTGATTTGTGCCTTGGGACTTTTAGAAAATGCCTCCTACCTTTTGGTGAAATGGGAAAAACAAGAATATAACAAGTGTGGGGAATGTTTCTCCATCTGGATGATTTCACCTTCAGTGCTTCACCCTTATACTCTATTACCATGTCAAAATGTATATGTATACCAAATATCCATTAAAACATACATTTAAAATAAAGTAATATGCTACTTCTATCCTGTGGATTAGAATTTTAGGAAACATGTGTGTACTTCTGTATTAATCCAATGATGAAAACCAAGAGTCTGAAATATTAATCAAAACTTAAAACTGCTGTACCCTTTTGTTCATACTCTCAGCCAAGATGTTTGGAAGCCAGTGTATGAATATTCAAATTAACACAAAGCATCTGCTGGGATCTTGTTAGGGAAGATGCAGGTAGATCAAGGTATTGGGGAATGTATTTTCTTCTGGCAAGCAAACCCTCATTTTTGATAAAATAATTGATATTTTGAGTTGGTATTTATTGGGAAGAGAAAAGAAGGGAAAAGAAGGGCCCACACGGGAAAATAGAAGTAATGAAAGGAAATCCAGTAAACAAGAGGTAAATATAAAGGAATAAATCCCCAGGCCTTCCAAGTAATGGCCTTTGAGCATCACAGAGCCCCTTTGCTTCTTCTATCCAAAAGATGATGACTGAGGAGGAACAGACAAAATAGCAACCATTAGAAAAAAAAATGCCTCAGGCTTTTTAGCTGTTTCTCTAAATTTGGGGGATATTTTCAGGTTTTCAGTGTTGTTTGCCGAGATATGTTAGGGATCTTTGGAGATGTTTATTACTTAATGCAACAAACAGCAAGACCCAAACCAGAGTTGCATATAAGAGCTGTGTATGTGTGCAGAGAACTGCTGCCTCCCCAAGCATCCTGATGGATAGCACTGAGCTGTGACTGAGACCCTGGCTGCTCCCCACCCATCATGACCGTGGTTTGGGGGATCATTTCCTCCCATCAGTGCTTCTTGACATTATGACAATATAAACCAAGACAATTTAATTCATTTTTTTCTGAACATAATCATCTGTCTTCACGCAGAAAATAATTGTTAAGTTTCTTGAAGGCCATATCCAGGTAGATAGTAGCGGTTTGTTCTGCACAGTACCAGGGCAAATAATGTCTGTCATGTGTATTAAAAGCAATGCAATATCCATCGCTAGTGTTTATGCTAAAAGTTTGATGTATAAGGATGAAGAAGAAATCATCTCTTCCCCCATGAAACTTAAAACATTTATTGAGTAAATAAAAAAAAAGTAAGGAAATTAATAAATAAATGGTTTCTTTTTAGTCTTCTGGCACTTGAACACAATTTATAGAAAGATACAGCAAAAATAGATGGGAGAGAGAGGTACATGAATTTCTCATTAGTCACATGCTCATTCCCTTCTTTAAAATCAGAAGATAAAGGTGTGGCAG